CCGTTCCAATCTTCTCTAGCCACGGACGAATCCTAGCATCTTCCTCATCCAACATGGACAAATATTGATAGCATTCATTCACAGTTGCAGCCTCCCATGCAGCTTTAAATTTCCAACCATGGTTGGATGACTTACCTCGAAATTTGGATCTCATATTACGCCGCAGATGTTCATAACAATATCCATGGGAAGCGTGTGGAAAGATGGCCTTTGCAGCTTTGATTATACCTTTATGTCTATCACGATGTTTAAGGCACTCTTTGAGCCTTGTAAAGAACCACTTCCAGGACGCAGTGCTCTCAGAATCACATACAGCAAACGCTAAAGGCACAATCTGTTTGTTTGCATCTTGGCTACATGCAGTAAGTAATGTCCCTTTGTAGTACGCCTTCATAAAAGAACCATCGATAATAAGAACAGGAATGCAATGCTCCCATGCTCTCTTCCATGGTGCAAGTGACATGAACAAATAGCGAAACACATCATTATCCCCTCTAATGAGCAACACGTCAGATCCTAGATTAGCTTGGTCTAGCATATGGAGCATCGACGGCAACAATTGGTATGCCTCTGAATCTGAACCAAATTGTTTTCTCATGGCAGATTTCTTTGCAGCCCAAGACTTCTTGTATGATATCGGTATTCCATACTGCAACAACAAATCATCCCTGATTTGTTTAGGTGTATATGGTTTATTGGTACAAGCTCAGCAATCATTGCAGAAGTGGCCTGCCTGTGACGAACACCTTGCCTAAAGTCTATTGAGCAAGTGTGATCAACATCAAACCTATATGTAAAGAACAACGAATAAATATAAACTGCTGCATATAAAAAGTACGAGAGAAGGTACATGCGTGGCAGTAATTGTTGACAGTACATGAACACAATGAAAATAATATAAACACAGGTGGAAGAACGTAGGAGATGACAATATACATGCTTGGAAATACAAGGTGTGCAGTGACAGTATTCTTAAGCAATGAAACTTTGAAATAGGAAACACATAATGGAAGATTCTTAAAAAACATTAGAAACAACTACAAAAATATGAATGAATTAAGAATTATACCTTCTAATTTGAAAAAGCTGAACACCTTTGAGCCTAACAACACGAACAACCCATTTACAATTTTCTTTGTCCAAACACATCACATGCAATGAATGGTTCTTTGAAGTCTTTGAATAAAATTGGAAGCTATTATTGATCGTGTACATTCTAAGGTGATAAAGTAGAGCTTGCTTGTTCTCGTATATACCATGGAGCACAATCTTAGTAGCAGAATAACGTGTAATGACATCACAGTTTTGGTCTAACACAAATGCATGTGAAGAATGACTTTCTAAATTTTCAGAAGAAGAAGAAAGTGAGTCCTCATCAAGGGAATCCTCATTCAAAAATTCAGGAAGTACACCACTGCATGGACTGTGCTCTTCAAAGGTATTTTTATTCAAGGAAACACTCAACTGATCGACATAAAAGGAAGATGTGGATGAAAGAACAGATAAAACAGGATCATAGTATTTGCAACAGTGAATGGACAACAGTGAAACCGGTATTTGCATTGCACAGATCAACATTAGAACAAGCTGCAGGTGTGACCAAAGTATTTGGAGTAGAAACAGGTAAAACAGGATCATAACTAGGTAGTTCCTCTTTGTCAAATTGTATACACAGAGGATACTTTGAGAAATCTGATTGAAGAATCTTAAGATCAATATAAAAGCGTAAACTATCATCATCATTGACTCTAACAGGTGGAGGACAGGATTCAACAAGGTATGATATGGTGAAACGTGGATTGCATTTGATTTGATCAATACTGCCATTCAGGATGTCTAAGAGTGATGAATATGTGCAAGAATATAGGACATGAATACCTAATGTCGCTTTGTTCACGAAGACAAAGTCAACCCCCCATATACCATCCATGTCATACCCCGAACCTAACCGGACACGTCAACAATCCACCGTACAGTACGAATAGTCAACCGCAGTCCGACTCATCCATACTATACAAGGCGTCTGGAATATCGTTCACACATAGTGCATCCATAAACAAACATAATGTAAAAAAAAATATTCATTCAAAGCAGCGGAAACATTTGATACAAGTGTTCATGCCACACTTTGGCAAACATGGGCATACAAGCCCAATTAATTATTAAAAAATATAATATCCATGAGCATTAATATAATTGTTTTTAAACAGAATTGGAGGAAGCACGAACCACGTCATCTCTCCTTGATTTTCCCGGAACAAGTGGGCGATGGTAGCAACCTTCAAGTTCTACCTGAAACTGTGAGGTGGCCTCCCCCGTGAAGGGGAGGTCAGTACTTGGAAGCATTTGACAAGTACAATGACAACTATACTAAATATAATCAATGTTTCAATTTCCAAGACCCTCAAACCACGGTATTATCATGTCATAGTTAACTTTGTTCGTTTAGTGTCAATTCATCGTTATTTACCACGGTGTAGAGCCCAGCTCAATAATCACCGTTACCTACTACGGTCTAGAGCCCAGCTCAATAATCACCGTTACCTATTATGGTCTAGAGCCCAGCTCAATAATCACCGTCATCTACACCGGTCTAGAGCCCAGCTCCATAATCACCGATATCTACTACGGTCTAGAGCCCAGCTCAATAATTAGCGTTATCTACTACGGTCTAGAGCCCAGCTCAATAATCACCGTTATCTACATCGGTCTAGAGCCCAGCTCAATAATCACCGATTCCTTACAATTCAATTTCTTAGGATCCATTCATCCATTATTCAATTACAATTCCAACTAATATTTCAATACCAGTTATTTACTCATTTCAATATAATTCTTCATTCGTATGTAATTTGGCCTTAATATCAAAATATCACTTTTATTCTTTCATGGCTTCTTCTCATGAAATAAAAGCATACTTATCACAAATGGGATTTATGGTTGATACTACTATCATGCCATCATATTCATAACATATAAACATACACAATTTATTCAATAAATTTATATATTATGCGAACTATACTTATAATCAATAGTAATTTCATTTAGGCATTATTAACCATTAATAATTCATGCAAATCACATTTTGTATTCATTTAGGAAATCTCATGAAATTAACCCAAAGGTTATAAGCAATATAGTCGGTCATCCTCACCTTAAGGGAGCTTACGCGCGTTCTACGCTTCCCGATTGAACTTTGACTAAATCCGGCGAACTTTGACCTACTCCAGCGAACTTTGACCAACTCCGGCAAAACTCCGGCGAAGCTCAAAAATACTTTAATCAAGTCCCTAACAAGGTTTTAACATCATAAAACCATAATCAATACAAATAACCTCTAAAGGTTATTTTCCGGTAAACCGGTCGTTTTGGCTTCTATGTCCGTTTTTGGACATAGAACCACCTTCCAACCCATTATTCCACACTCATAACATGTAGAACAATCCTAGGGGTTCTTCATATGACATATAAATCATATGATAATTAAAGAATAGAGGAAAAGTTATTATAAGGTCCTTACCTTAATCCACCTAGTTTTTCCTTCCGAAAACCTTTCCCTTGGACCTCCTTGAGCTTGCTTGTCCTTGGCTATGGAAGGTGTTATTTTTTTCTGGGATTTCCTCCCTCTCTTGAGATTATGGCCGAATGATGAGGATGGAAGGAGGTGGTTGCATTCTTTTGTCTCAATAGAATGAGTGGTGTGGGGAGAGGCCCACTTTATTTTTTATTTGTTTGATTCCATTTCACTCATATCACACTCTCTCCCATGTTCCTTCATCACTTCAGCCGGCCAAATATATAAATTTGGGTGACCAAATTTGTGGGTTGGCCCCCACACATGTGGGAGGTCAACCCTTTTTGTCTAGAAGTGTCCAATCGGTCCCGAAAGTTGTATTTTTCGGACTGTTTTAAATATATTTTATTTTATCGGGTCAAATAAAATATATTATGTGTTCTTAATCATTATACCCTTTATAATGAATATACATTCCCCAACTTAAATTTATAAGTCTCCGAAATTCATTTCCGGGCTATTATCTGTGAAATTGCCAAAACCGATATTTGGGCTTCTTTTGACCAATCGGTCCACATTATGTCATTTCTTTGGACCAAATAAATTATCCATCTCTATATGAACATTATTTCGACTACGGTGAATAAAATATACGGTCTCGGAAATATCGGGCGGCCCCGCTCCCGGTGTGGGCCCCACGTGCGAATTTACTATTCACGCAAAAGACATATTAGAAATTCACAACTTCGTATACTCATTAACCATCCCATAAGGTTCAATACATTATTCACTTAAAAGTAAATACATTTGGGGACGGTGTTACAATCCAACTTGACCATGATAAGCAAAACACGATCCATTACAGCGATTACAATATATGAGAACACTGCAAAAACGAATTGATGAATCTTAGAACATTAATGAGATCGGAACAAATTAGAGAACTTCTAAAAAATGATACTAAGATGCATTAGAACACTTCGAAAACAGGAAAAACAAACTGAAATTCATCGAAATCGAATGAGCAAAATAGGCGAAAGTAAAAAAATTGAATAATTGGACATAATACCTGGTAAAAAAGTTGACCTCGAGCAGAAAATTTGAGAACAATTCAAACGTTTTCCGATCTAAAGCTTCGATAAATTAAGACTGTTTGATTCGAAATCCTTGTCTGAAGTGATTTGCCATCCTCACGAAGCTCACTTTTAGAGTTGCTTTCGAACGAGAACTTGCAGAGGCAGAGTAGAAGAGGACGAAAGAACTGAGATTCGAAGATGGGTAATCGGATGTTAGGCGAGAAAGAAGAGGGGTATTTTAGGAATGAAAATATCTTATGTTTTAATAAGGAGCATCGGGGTCCCATTTTTAGAAATAAAGTCAAAGAGTTCCATTTTGAAATTAGGAAAGCTAATTAGTCCCATTTAGGGTAAATCCCCATTCTATATCTTCCTATCCAGATCGAGAATGTGAACTGCATACGGAATCTGCCAAATAAGAGTTTTGGAAACTTTTGGAGTCTGCCAAAACTTCTCCCTTTGAACGCCTACATATATACACACCGTATATACGAACGCCTAGCGATGTCGTTCTGCCAAAACTTCTCCCTTTGAACGCCTAGCGATCTCGTTCTGCACCCCATCTCCAGTGTCTCTTTCTTCTCCCTGCTACGTTTTTTCTTTTGAAATAATTCGTAAATTTTTGCAATTGCTCTCATATATCTTTCAGCCCCATCTGTTCGATCATGACTTGTATTTAAATAATGTAGGTATTATGGACTCCCACCATGGCTACCCTTTCATGACTCCTGAAGAGCGTGAATTAAATCTCCTTTATGACGAAGCAATAAATGTTACTGGTGTAAGTAATAATTCAATCCCCCGTTTCTTCCTCTTTCTAGTTACGGAATTGAATTCGTTGCAAACTAAAAAACTTCAATTTTTCATATCAGCACTATTTGTATTCATGCTAGAATCATTATTTTTAAGTTTCAAGTTTATTACTTTGGCAACAAATTTCTTTTAAAGAAGTCAAAGTTTAATGAATTTGTAATTTTAATGCAGGACAAAGATTTATGTTTTGCTTTCACTTAATTCGCATTATTTCAAAACTATTTAACTCGTGCGTACATAGGGTTGTAAATAAAGCGAATCGAGTCAAATATGAAACGAATATTAATTTCGATTTGTATTTGTATTTATTTAACAATTCGAATAGTTAATGAATTATATACGAATACCGAATCGATTTGAGCACAGGTGAAATATTAGTCAAATATCACTTTAAAATAACTTTTTTATATTTCTTTATGTTGTAAAAGCATGCTATGACTTAATATGTGTTTTTTGAATTTAAATTCAATGAATTAATACATTTTTAGATTGTGCACAATATACTAAACTGAATCAATTCTATGATTAATAAATATAAATCTATTTTAAACTTTTTGAAATAAACACTAACACATATTAGAAATTATACTTATAATGTGTGAAATAAGGTGAAATAAGTTGATAATTGTAGATATCAAAGTCAAACGACTCTAATTTTATTCTTCAAATCAAATACATAATTATTTTTATTTCATTTGAAAAATATTTGAACCAAAAATTTGATTTGTATTAGTTGTGTAGAATTAATGGGTTTGGTTGAGAGATGTGTACACTTTATTGGTAGGTTCCCCAAGTGATAGATTGGGGTTGGGAATCTGTACACTGTTGTACCCGAGATATTTTTTGAGATCAAAATTATTAGTGGTTGGGAGTGGGTTTAGGTGGGTGGAAGTGGTGGGGAGCAAGTGTTTGAAATTATTTCGAATAATAAAAAATAGAGAAAAAAAATCAATCTTGTGTAGAATTATTGGGGTTGGTTGAGAGATGTGTACAATTTATTGGTTCCCGAAGTGTACAAAAAAGTCAAACGACTCTAATTTCACTACAAACAAAGTGCCTTATACTAACATTAAAAAAACTGTTGGTATAGGTGTAAAATGTGTTGGTATAGACACCATTTATCTATACCAACACAAATTTATATATACAATTCCGACATTAATTTTAGCGTTGGTATACGTTGCGTCGGTATAGACCGATATCAACATAGATAGTATTTCGTAGCGTAGGAATAGCTCATTATCATATACCAACAAGGTAATTAGTGTTAGTATATTCCTTTTAGTGTTGGAATAGCTCATTATCATGTACCAACAATGTAACTAGTGTTAGTATAGGCTTGTATCTAGCTTACTTAATTTTATGCTATACCAACATTTAATATGCTGTTGGAATTGATCTACTATATGTAACAATAATTGTTTACTAATTTATACACAACACCCATACATTCCAAATACAATTACAGTTCAAAGTCAAAATAAAATTTGAATTTCATTCATTCAAGTGCAAATCTTTTTAAAATTCGAATAAGTACTAAACAAAAAACATAGTAGCTAGCTAGTAATAAAGATTTTTTGAGTTAATATAAAATTTTAAATACTACATACTAACAACCCCAAATACAATATAAAAACTTGATTTAAATGACAAATTCAAATTAAAAGGTCATGGTGTCCAAAAGCGGGTTACTCTTGTTTTCCAAAATTAATAACACCTGAAATTAAAACAATAGTTCACAATCGTTAGTTGCATAAATAAAAAATGATAGCAAAAGCAATATAACTTCATTAATGACTAGTAAATTATAGGAAACCCCAATAATAACATTTGATTTGCTGGCAGTAGTGAACTTTTAAAATCTAAATGTTACAAATATTTTCAGCACAAAAAATCTAAATCTTTATATAATTGTACTCTCCTATTGTTCCTCTATCAAAGTTACAATTTTATAGTGGAATTAGCTTAGGATGAGTTTGGACAGGAAAATGTAGAGGTGGACAGTCACAATCTAATTCATAAACATGGATCAGTCGGGGTCAAGTGGAGATATTTGCAACTTACAAGAATACCATCAGGTATATCCTATCAAACAAACATATAAAGTGGAGATAATTGCAACTTACTAAGTTAACAAAACACCAAACTCTCAACCTGCCCAAGAGGTATATCCTATCAAAAAAACCAAACCAATGTGATGCATACACACATATAAAGAGGGATAGAGGAAAGATCAGGTTAAAATTTCAATCTGCCCAACTTCTCGATTCCGACCTAAAGAAATTCAATAGTTCAAATATTATCTGCTCATAGTATCAATTATCATTACATGTACAGAAATGATGTAATAATTCATTGTACTTGTACAATATTTCATAATTTTAGTTTAACTTGCCAATTTTCATGTTATTGAAAATATGTATAGTATTATTTCATCAAACGATATTACTATTTCAAACTTAAATTATAAAGTAATTCGAACACCCAAAACTCAGGTGTTAGATATGCCACTGCATGACACTCATGCCAGAATGGAATACTTCTCAATATGTGTGTATTTGTTCATGCAATGTGAAGAAATGAGATAGATGATGAATTACCTTCCAAAAGGGTTCAAAGAATTTGGGTGCATCATTGAGAATGGCTAATCCCAGCCTGGATAATGGTCTTGCAAAATATTAAAAGTTGATTGATTTATTTTACAGTGGTAGGAATCTATATACTTTTGTATCCGAGATATTCGTTTGAGATCAAGAGCCCGTTTGGTAGCACGAAAATCGGCTGTTTTGGCTGATTCTGCTGAAATTCATGAAATTCTGTCTGAAGTGACTGTTTTGGCTGATTCTGCTGATTCAAGAAAAAAATATTTTAAAAATATATGTTATTAATAAATTATAGAAAAAATTACATGTAAAAATAGCTAAAATAATCCTCTACAGTAACTTCAGCCAATACAGCCAGAAAAGTAACTCCAACCTTACTTTTTCTGCTTATTACACAATTCAGCACACAAAAGTAAAAGTTACGTGTTTGGTAAAAAAAACTGGCTGATAAGTCTGATAAGCCGAAAAAAGAGGTCTCCAAACGGGCTCCCAAAATTATTGGTGGTTGGGAGTTGGTTTAGGTGGGTGGAAGTGGTTGGGAGCAAGTGGTTGAAATTATTTCGAATAATAAGTAATTGAGAAAAAAATCAATGTTGTGTAGAATTATTCGGGTTGGTTGAAAGATGTGTACAATTTATTGGTTACCGTAGTGATATAAATTCTGCCTGAAAAAGTAAAAGTTGATTTTGATTTAATTGAAAGAAGTAGGAATCTATACACTTTTGTACCCGATATATTTTTTTTGAGATCAAAATTATTTGTGATTGGGAGTGGGTTTATGTGGGTGGAAGTGGTTGGGAGCAAGTGGTTAAAATTATTTCGAATAATGAGTATTTGAGAAAAAAACAATGTTGTGTAGAATGATTGGGGTTGGTTGAGAGATGTGTATAATTTATTGGTTCCTGAAGTGATAGAGATTCTGCCAGAAAAAGTAAAAGTTGATTGCTTTAATTTAAAGTGGGAGGAATCTGTACATTTTTGTACCCGAGATATTTTTTGAGACCAAAATTATTGGTGATTGGGAGTGAGTTTAGGTGGGTGGAGAATGGAGATGGTTGGGAGCACGTGATTGAAATTATTTTGAATAATAAGTGATTGCCAAAAAAAAGTAAATGTTGTGTACAATTATTGTGCTAGGTTGAAAGATATGTACAATTTATTAGTTCTCGAAGTGACAGAGAATCTGCCAAAAAAAAAGTCAAAGTTGATTGATTTAATCTAAAGTGGTAGAAATCTCTACACTTTTGTACCTGAGATATTTTTTGAGATCAAAAGTATTAGTGGTTGGGAGTGGGTTTATGTGGGTGGAAGTGGTTGGGAGCAAGTGGCTGAAATTATTTCGAATAATAAGTGATTGAGAAACCAAGCATTCCAACTCAGCTGGTTGTGAGGTTACCGCGTCTAGTGGGAGATCTCGAGTTCAAATCCTGCTAGGCACAGAAGGGTTTGAAACTCAATGGAGTGAGTTTCAGCCCTAATTACTCCAGGCCCCTTCCCCCCAGACCCCTAGATTAAAAAAAAATAATAATAAATAATAATAATAATAATAATAATAATAATAATAATAATAATAATAATAATAATAATAATAATAATAATAATAATAATAATAATAATAATAATAATAATAATAATAATATTAATAATAATAATAATAATAATAATAATAATAATAATAATAATAATAATAATAATAATAAGTGATTGAGAAAAAATGAATGTTGTGTATAATTATTGGGGTTGGTTGAGAGATGTGTACAATTTATTTATTATTTCGAAGTGACATGGAATCTATCAGGAAAAGTAAAAAGTTAATTGATTTAATTAATTTTAAATGGGGGGAATCTCTACACTTTTGTACAAGTTGACAATATTAAAAGTACAACTTCATAATATGATAATATCAATTTCAATTGACAATTTAAAAGTACAAAAAAAACGTAATAAAAGTGCCAAGTACCTTGTGGTTTGATGGCATTGTTGTGACACTCCCAAGGAGGAGGTCATAGGTTCGAATCTCATCCCAGTTCAAGGATGTTGACATTAACATTGAGCAGATACTATATAGGTTAGAAAGAATTCTCCAAAAAAACGTAATAGAAGCAAGCATCCCCCAATTTTTTCCCGGTTGCTTTGGCGGCCTTGCACATGTTGTGATACAGGTATCCCAATACTGCTGAGCCCCAGCTCCACCATCGTGCATCACTGAGTGGTCCTTGCAACAACTCTAAAAAGTATAATTTGATTTTGTTCCCCGTAATGGAGGGGAACAATAACCCGCCTAGTAGTTGCCAAATGAGTACCCTTGTGTATGTGATGAGTTCTCATTTGTGCTGTGTGGATGTACCGGCCAACGTTGTAGGGCATTCATTTATATTACAGATGTGTTTAAGTCGTTTGTATTGATAATTAATTAAATTTTTAATAATTAAAATTTACATATTCAGAAATCACATTAAAATTTCTTCAAAGCTACAAATTCCAAATTAGAATAAAATTAAAATTTGACATCCCAATTAAGTGAATAAATTTAAACTTTTTGACCAAGAAAAGCCAATTTTGGAAATCAATTTAATTGGGACGGAGGTAGTAATATCTAATAAATCTAATAAAAGTATGAAAATTTTATGAAAATCTTGCATATACAATAGAAAATTAACATATTACTTATTAGATTGTTCAAAGCATGTCTACATTTGGATACCAGATTTCAGCACTCCTGGTTACTACATAATAACTTGATTTTTCATATTAGATGCTAGCAATGTTACAATGGAGGTAGCACTCAAGATTGTCTTTTATATTGCTTTCACTGATATGGTGTGGATTTAATCAGTAGGTTCTTTCTGATTGCTTTGAGTTTCTTTGTTTTTCGATCCGCACGTTCAGGGCTTCGATGTTCCAAAGTTTCCTGATGAATTTGTGATGGAGGGGCAGATAGTTCCAGTGGTGTTTGCACATTCGGAGTACATGCGTGAAATAGGTTCCAGATATTGCAAGCTTGCAATTGAGACATATAACAAGCAGCATGTTAGTTCTATGCATCTATATTTCCCTTTTTTATGCTTCTTTTTCAATGCCATGATCTTTTACATGGCCTTTCTAGCTAGAGCTAGAGCTTTTACCTAGGCTTTATGCCTTCTAAATGTGCAGAATACGAACTTTCAATTCACGGAGTTAATCAAGTGGAATGCAGCAGCCCTTCTAAACTATATCACCTTCAAGGCCATCGATCAGAATTCATTTGGCAGACCGATGAAAACATTTCAAGCTGAAATCTATGACCATCCCGGCAAAGATGAACTTGATCAGGTTGAGGTAGAGTTCTGTCGGTTGGCACCTCCTGACCTTTGAAGGCAGGCAGGTAGCTAATGTTTTAATTTTGTATGCAAGCAATACTTGTGGTAATGTGATTTTTTCAACTATATCATCTGTATACTTGGGAATGATGTGAGAAGTATGGGTTACCTAAGCTAGTTTTCTCCACAATGTTGGAAAGTATTTCATTCAAATGTCCTTGGTCCATTTACAACATAATTTGACGTATATATTGAGGACTTTTATGTCTTATCATTATGTTTACCATATGACAGGATTGATCCTATATTTATCTATAGTTAACATACGATGAGTATATATTTTGACATTAAATAATACATGCATAAGATACCAAATGGAATTCTCTTTGATACAAGATAAAACACTCGTTCATTCCATTCTTACGACAAAAACGAAAGAATATGATTCTTCCAAAAAGTCTCAAGAACACCTAAAATTTCATATCTTCTACAACGCCATCAACGTTTGGTTTCTCCTCGACCGGTTAGTGTTCTTATTGCTTGAATCTATGAATTTTATCATCTTTAGTGAGATTAGATCCTAATTGGGGCTGAATTTCTCAACACACACTCCGACCTCAATTCGTTGTTGAAAGTAACCGAAGCAGGAACCTCAGTTGAACTGGGTTGAAAAGTAATTCACTTGGAGAAAAACAAATTGGAATCACATAAATTGCCTTATGCTTCAAATCATTGCATATCAGGCTGATTCTCCCTTTTGAATACAAAAACTTGATTTTTTTTGTACATCACAACGTATGTAGTTTATGTTAACACTTTTCCGAAAGAATCTTAAACATATAGTACAATTTTGAAATAATATTTTATAGTAAATTACTAAAGGGGAAAATAATTAAAATACCCCAAACTTTGATGGGGTGTGAGGTAAGCACCCCAAATTTGCATATGTATTTTAAATACCCCAAACTTTATATAAAAATTTATTTTAACACCACATTCATGTCACGCCCCAGACCGCAATCCAAGCGCGTGTACAACCGCCGTATAACTAAGTGATGTCACCCACGAGTCAACCTCACTTAGTTACACAAGGCGTTCGAGAAAACAATCCATCCATGCTCAGTAGTAAACATACATAACAACATCACATTTAAACCAATGAATAGCGGAAATATTCAACGGTAAGGCATGAGCCACAACCGGCCAACAACATGGGCATGCAAGCCCCAAAAATAGTTTATAGTAAAACAAATATCCATGAGCAAGTGTTTGGTAGTTTGAAAGAAAATAAGGAAGCACGAACCACGTCTTCCCGATATGATATCACCCGTGAGAAGGTGCAAGTAGCAAGCCCTAGCTTCAACCTGAAAATGGTGGGGCCCCCCGAAGGGGTCAGTACAAGTACCGAGCGAGTAGCAGGCTAAATATAGAATAACTAGCGTTTCAAGTATAAGACCCAAACATAGGGTGATACTTAAATAAATAGTCTTTCCCCCAAGTTATGAAATACTTATTAGTATATACATATATACTTGGAAAATATCCGATCCGTAGATCACCATTTTATTTGGGAAAAAATAGTAATAGTCAATATTCTTGACTAAAAACCCCAACCCACCCATATACCTATGAGTGTATAGGATTCCTCCTTGTCCCTATTTGTATATCATAATCTATGAGTTTTAGGATCATAATCCTTGGATACTCCACCGGTTTGTGAGTGTTAAGGCCTCATAAGTCCTAGGGTCCTCCACCAAGTTTTGAGTGTTAAGTACTTTTAAGTACTAGGGTCCTCCACCAAGTTTGAGTGTTAAGTACTTTTTAAGTACTAGGGTCCTCCACCAAGTTTTGAGTGTTAAGTACTTTTTAAGTACTAGGGTCCTCCACCAAGTTTTGAGTGTTAAGTACTTTTTAAGTACTAGGGTCCTCCACCAAGTTTTGAGTGTTAAGTACTTTTTAAGTACTAGGGTCCTCCACCAAGTTTTGAGTGTTAAGTACTTTTTAAGTACTAGGGTCCTCCACCAAGTTTGAGTGTTAAGTACTTTTTAAGTACTAGGGTCCTCCACCAAGTTTTCCTATTATCAACCTCCTATCAACCTAGATAGAGTCTATATCATACTTAGTTACTCATAACTAATCCAATACATAAATTCTTATGTATCACAATCCATGCAAAGCCATGCATTTATATAGATTTATATTTAATTAATACCAACCGGTATTAATTAAATCCTTTGTTCTTCGGTCCACGTTTTCGTTGACCGCCATTTCATGCCTTGTGTGTATCAACTTAATCATCATATAATTAAGTTAATAATATTCATTTGTGCTTCTAATACGCTTCAAGCAAATATGCATTTCATATAATTCTTCATATCATATTCCATGCATCAACAATTAATTTCTTTCATACAAACTTAACCCTATTGGCTAATCACATGTTTAAATATCTTTTAAACATCATTATGAACTCATATAACATTTATTTAGGTAATCTCATAATTAACCCAAAAGTTATAAGATATTAAGCCGTCCACTCACCTTGAACTAGCTTTATGAAGTTCTACCCCTCTTGGTTGAACTCCGGTGAAACTCCGGCGACTTTCGGTCAACTCCGGCGACAACTCCGGCGACTTTTCCAACTTTGTGAAATCACTTGAAATACCTTTCACAAGTTCCTAACAAGGTTTTATAATCATAAAACCCATATTAATACAAATAACCTCTAAAAGGCTATTTTCCGGTGAACCGGTCGTTTTGGGCTTCTAAGTCCGTTCTTGGACTTAGAACCATCTTCCACCCCATAAATCCATACTTATAACATGTGGAACCATACTAAAGGTCCTTCATATGATATATACTTCATATGGTAGAGGAAAAGTAAAGGAAAAGTTAATATAAGGTCATTACCTTAATTATCCAAGCTTTTTCTCACTTTTTCCTTCTTAAATCCTCTCTTTTGGACCCCTTTCTCCTTGAGCTCGTGCTGCAACAATGGAGGTGGTTTTGAGAGCTTTCTCTCTCCCCTCTTTGATGGTTTGGTCGAGCAAAATGAGGAGGAAGGAGGGGGATGGGTTCCTTTTGTCTCATTTAGCTAATAAGTGAGAGAGGGACCCCTTTGGTGTCTCTCAATGTCTCACCCTCCCATCATGTGTACCATTGGCCTTCCTTTGGTCAATTTGAGCACACAAAAACGTGGGGTGGCCCCCACTCATGTGGGAGGTCATCCCTTTGTGTCCCGGTGTGTACAATCGGTCCCGAAAGTTGTATTTTTCGGACTGTTTTAATCATATTTTATTTTATCGGGCAAAATAAACTATATTATGTGTTCTCGATCATAATTCCCCTTTGAGATAATATATATTCCAAAACTTTAATTTGGAAGTCTCCGCAATTCATTTCTGGGCTGCTATCTGTTAAATTGTCGGTACCGGTAATTGGGCCTCGTTTACCCAATCGGTCAGCTCTGCGCCTTTCCACGACCCAAATAAAATATTCACCACTATATAAATATTATCTTGACTAAGATGAATAAAATATGTGGTCTCGGGAGTGTCGGGCGGCCCCCGCTCCCGGTGTGGGTCCCACGTGCAATTTACTATTCACGCGAAAGAAATAATAAAAATTTACAACCTCGTAAATTCATTAATCCTTTAATAAGGTTCAATACATTATTTACATGAAAGTAAATATATTTGGGGACGGTGTTACAACATTCATGTATTATTTCATTCAAAAATGTAAATTTATGGTGTTAATTGCATATTTTGAATTTTTTAGCATTCATGAAGATGAAATTAACATTCTAAACTTCTATTGTAAAATAATACTACCCCACCTCCCCACACACTCTATATAATTGCATCATTTTCAATTTGCTATTTTAAATTATGCAATTAACACCATAAATCTACATTTTTGAAAGAAATAATACATGATCATGGTGTTAAAATGACTATTTATATAAAGTTTGGGGTATTTAAAATACATATGAAAGTTTAGGGTGTTTATCTCACACCCCTTTAAAGTTTGGGGTATTTTAATTATTTTTCTCATTACTAAATTGTGAAATGAAAATAATAAAAGCGAGAATTACTAGACAGAATTAGATTTTTTATTATTCAATTTCAAATTTATAATTTATTTTTGATGTTTTTTTGAAATTTAATTTAGCTATTTAAAGTCGATAAGTGTAAATTGGCTCCTTTATAGGAAAATGATGGGTATTTGCACTTTATAAATTTCAGGGCACGATAAAAAAAATCAGGGCTATATACGCACGTCCACATAAACTTTAGTGGTATATTTTGTTCTAAAAAAATAGAACATACTCCGTATATATTATATGTTTGTTCTCACACCGATACTAGAAGGCATATTTGTTCCTTTTCCCATGCCTCTAGAACAAATTGCATTTTAGAAATAAAATATAAGTAATTATTATTTGTATAATTTGTCTATGTTTTAGCTTTAACTAGAGCAATTTTTTTATTTAATAAGCTAGAGAGAACGATTAGGTTTGATACTGTTTTGGGAAATTTCTGATCCTATATGTAGCTTCTAGAGAATGTGAGTCGGGGTCGAAAATAAGGAATCCTATATAAACTCCGTATACACGAAGGCTAGAAGACACGATCTCTCCACACCCATTAGGGTGGGTTCGGTTCTTGCGGTTCGGTTTTGACCTAAAACCAAATATAGAATCAAAGTAAGAAGTTTGGTTCGGTTTTGGTTCGGTTTTACACTTCAAAACTTGGAGTCACGGTTTGATCGATTCGGGTTGTTTCGATTCGGTTTCGATTTTTTCGGTTTTTTGCCAAAAAACTATCATTTGATATTAAATTGTTATAATACATTGAGGGATCAAATATATACATAGTATTACATAAAGAATGCAAGCACACTACAACAAATAAAATAAAAATAAAAATAAATAAATATGTCTTGAATTATATGAGTATGCGAGAGAGATAAAAATATATATTACTAATCTACATTGTTTGTGACTAGTTCAAAAAAAGTTCATGAGTATATAGTCATATACGTTCTATGTGATATAGTTGAGATGAATATTTATTATTTCATCAATATGAATTCTTTAAGTTAAATAAAAATAAAAGTTAATTCATACTAATACATATTTTCATCATTCCGTATAGCTACATTATTACGGACAATGAATGTATAAATGAATTTATAAAGTAAAAACATGTTTAAAATGCAAAATGATAGCTGTGAACTCTATTGCATTTAACAATGTTTATTTTGCTGTTGCAATTGTATTATTTATTGGCTTTAGTAAGA